CAGTACCTATAAAACAGATGAAGTGGACACTGGTTCATTTGCAGGAGGGGGCACCTGGAGGTTTGCCTTTGGCCTTCTCTTCCCTTCCCTCTCTCGTTTTAGAGGCTCTAAAGCACGTCTGAAAAATCCTGGAGCATTCCCTTGAAAGCCACTGATGTAATAAATCATAGCCCCAGGGCCCCTCAACGTCCCTGAGAGCTGACCATTTGGCTTCTCTTAATCTTAGATTCTACAGCCTGGAGCCTCCCTCGGGCCTGAGCGGGAGGAGGTGGGTACAGCAGGTGGACAGCTCCAGGGCCACAGAGGGGCAGAGGGGAAGGTTTCCAGCACAAGATAAGGATCTGGACCAGATCTTTACAGGCTCCCCGAGGAACAGGAACAGGGGCATTCATGAAAAGGAAGCAGTATCAGCACCAAGAGAGCTCAGGGGTAAGAGGGGTGAAGCAGAAGGGGCCACTTGTTTGTGCTGTCGTTTACTAATCAGGAAATGATTGACTTTATAAATATTTTATCATTCCTGACTATTTTAAGAAAAACGCTCGAGTGTGTTAAGATCCTTGTACATGTGAATAATCTTTGTCACAGTAATTTCACTTCTAAAAATTTCCATTAAGTGCATAATCAGAAATGTGTGCAAAGATATATACAAGAAAAAAAAGATATATACAAGGATATTCATTGCAGTTTTATAATAGAAAAGGTCTCCAAGAGGAAGTGATACCTGAGCTGAACCTTAGGGGGTGAATAGGAATTACCCAGGCCTCTTGGGTGGGGAATAGAAAGAGGAGTAGGTATTCCAGTTAGGGGCAACAGCATGTATCAAGATGCAGAGATGTGACAGGTATATTGGGGAAGTATAAGAAATTGGGAATTATTAGAGCAAAGGATACACTGTGAATGGAGCAGGAGATGAGGCTGGAAGGGAGGAAAAGGTCAGAAGCAGAACAAAATTATAATTCCAATTTAAAAAATCATAGTAATTTTACTCTTTGAGTGAAAAACACGTTCTTTAGGTTGGCATGTGTACACAGAGAGATAAGAAATCTAACCCTGTGTGCAGGAAATTCAAACCAAGGGAAGTAGTGAACTATCCTTGAGTTGAAATGTTACTTGAAACAATAAAATAGGGAAGATTAACAAGTCATGCTACTTTGATGTCAGATGCAATCATCTCTATGTATAATACATCGGTCAAAGTTCAAGAACTGCTTATCTGTATGAAAATATTGCTCTCCTCTTTGCACGGTTATCTCAACAGTTCCAGAATTGTTTGGGTAATAAACTTTGTTTCTCACACAAAAAGTTATGTTTTTTAGCCAAGTTGATTGTAAAGCAAAATTTTGAATGTTGTTAATAGATTTATGCCCATTTGCATAATAAAAAATTGCTCCAAATTTACCATTATCACATTGACTTAGTCATTATCTGCTGTTGCTACCACTTGCCTGTTCTTAAATTCCTCTTACGGGTCCCCATTTATCTGCCACAATCTGCATTTTTTCGCTACTTCTACTGCTAAATAATCCTCTCAAAGGAAGCTTTTTGTCCCACCTCTTCCCATCAGCTCATTGTTCTCTGACCACAAAGACCAAGACCAAAGCAACATAGCACCATCATACCATTTATTGCATCAACAAACGCTGGGTCAAGGGCCGTACTTGCTCACAGGTGGAAGGTTTTGAGACTCACCTCATTGGTGAATTGAAACAATTATATTAAAATGTAGAATTAAAATTGAAACAATTACTTAAAATGTCCCTCTGCAGGCCTCAAGCATTTAAGAGTCTCAGAGGATTATAACTGGTTCTGAAGGAAAGATTCATGATGAATGACCCAGTCTCATAGGTTGGAATCATAAGATTGTAGGGTTTTAAAGGTGCACACGAGTGCGCATTTCAGAAATTATCTTATTCAGCTCCTCATAGATGAAGCAACTGAAGCCTAGGAGGACAGCATGGTGACTGTGACCTTGGACAATTTACTTATCTTCTCGTTGCCTCGCTTATCTTTTAAATAGATTTTAGCAGTGTCTATAGCTCAAAGGGTTATTTTAAGGAATAAATGAGATAATGCAAGGGAAGAACTTAGAGCAGTGCTTAGCCCAAATATATCGTTCAATAAATCTTTGCTGCTGTGACTATGGATACAACAATGAACAAGGACTCCTGATCTGCTGTTAATTTGTAATGAACTCAGAAAGTTCCTCCGTTTTACCAATCTGTGAAATGAAGTTGGACTGTGATTCAAGTTGAACTGTGGGGCCCTCGGGAGCCACAGGACTGCAGGGAGGAAATGGAGAGACCAGCAGGCAGGCAATGCACACCTACGCTCCTTCAACCAAACATGTTTAGCTTTGGTCTTACTTCTTATATTTTTGCATAGAAGAGTTCTGCTGAAAAAATAAATAACTACATAATGAGATCATCTTTAAGGTTCTTTCAGATTCTATGATTTTGCAACAATCACACAGTGTCCCTCTGTTATTCTGGTTTCAAAATAAAGACTAGAGTTTTAAAGTTTTAAAGGATAAGATCAATTTATGACCATAGGCACAGAGCCAGGACAGAACTCTAGGTCTCCTGATGATGCGGGGTCAGTGAGCCAAGGAGTCGAAAGAAAGATTTCTTGGACTCTCAAGATCTGGCAGTAGTGCTGTTTTATTTAGAGAATAGTGTGGAATAGCATGGGGACAGGACCCATGGGCAGTCAGAGCTGCTGCGTGGGGACAGGGCCCACGGGCAGGAGGAGGTGCTGCTGCTGCCCCCGCTACTGCTTGCAAACACGGCTGGAGAGTAAGGCTACATTTAAGGCATAGGTACGTGAGCCATCTCTTTACAAGACAAAGGAAAGAACATGGAAAAAAGTTAAAGTGGTATCAGTGCAGGTGGGGTCTGGCCATTGGGTGATCCCATAACTTTTAGATAAGAATCAAATTGGATTAAGTAAAGGCCAGAAGCCACCACCCTAAATCAGTTACATGAGATTGCCAAACAGTAACCAACTTAAGTTCTTGCCTTCCCCATTAAGAGTTTCCATCCTGCCTTCCTTCACAAATGCAAATGTCTCTCAAAGGGCAAGCAAATTCCAGTCCTCGGAGCCTGCTTCTCATCTGCAGTTTTAAAATTAACCAGCCTGAAATAATCCTCATCACTGACAGTAAGGAAGAGGCATGATAATTTCTTGAGGTTAATAGGAAGGATGATCCTCAAATGATTAATGCTCAGTAATGCTTGTGGACATGCCTGTGTCTTGCTAATGGGGAAACAAATCCTGCGTTTTTGCTTCTTAGTTTCCTCTTGAATTGTTCAAGGGGTGCGTGTTCTTTTGCACAGTGCTGATGACTATCTCCTCTATGATTACCACATTTATTTCCCAATCCTTTTCTGGGTAACTGAAGATTCAAGCTTGCTGAATTATAGTTTATTGAGAAAGAGGACCTTAAGGAGAGATGTTACCATTGCTTCAACTTGCATTTATTTATCAAAAGGTTATAGAGTATTTATTGCCATACCAGAGTATTTGTATATTTCAGATGCAATTCTCTGATATAGTTCTAATTTTCAGTGAACCCAACCCAATTTCAAAGCTCTAATCAAAAAAGACTTTGGAGATATGTCAAAATATTAAATGACTGAAATTTGTTGGTGCACAGTAAGCTAATGGTATATTTTCTATTGGGTTAAATTATTACAGTAGGGCTGGCCCGGTGGCGCAGAGGTTAAGTTCGCATGTTCTGCTTCTCCAAGGCCCGGGGTTCGCCAGTTCAGATCCTGGGTGCGGACATGGCACCGCTTGGCAAAAGCCATGCTATGGTAGGCGTCCCACATATAAAGTAGAGGAAGAGGGACGTGGATGTTAGCCCAGGGCCAGTTTTCCTCAGCAAAAAGAGGAGGATTGACAGTAGTTAGCTCTGGGCTAATCTTCCTCAAAGGAAATAAATAAATAAAGTAAATTATTACAGTAGTCTTGTTTTCCCTGCATTCAGACTTTCTCAGGATAAAAAAATGTTTACATTTTCAAGTACTCTATCAGATTCCAGTATATAAATTCCATACTATTCTCTCTATCTTGCCTTTTCAAGTGTCTCTGAACTCACGTTTCCATTGTAGGAAATACGCAGTTTAAGGGCATTGACTTTCATCAGGTAAGAAATGTAACCCTAAAAGGTACATGGCTTTCTACTGTGTAATTTTAATTCCCATCTAGAACATACCTAGTTCAGACTCTGATACAAGGTGTTGCAGTCAATGTAACAGATCCGAATGTAAATGAAAGGACATGCTTCTGCATTTTCATGAAGAGTCTATTAAAGCCTAAATTTCACACTAAATCTTTTACATATGCATTTTTTCCCATATGGTGGGACGTATTGTATGTACAATGAAAAGGAAATATTTTGCCTAGCCATGATCACTGTCTCTCGGTTTCTCTACCTGGAGATGACCACTAGTCTCAGTTCCTTATCTATCCTTGGAGCGGTTCTTGAATGCTTCAGTTTAAAAGACTGAACTTAAAATGTGGGGAGGCTTTCTTATAATGTAAACATGTTTAACAGAGAAATGTAATTTGCAGAATATAATTAACATGCCCGACACCATTCTGCAACAGCTGAGGACAGAACAAAGAGGAAAGTACAGAGTGTCTTTTCTAACTATAGTATTTGCCTGCCTAGGCATCTAGGTTTCCATTTTAAAGATTCCTTAGGAAACCCCAACTGTTACAAGGAAGTATTGCTTTTGGTTTAATGTTTATCCTGCTAGAGCACTCCACCCTTGAATGATCTTAGTGACTAATAGGACTGGCACCAGTTCTCACTTACCGGCTTGTTTTTTGTGCCGACTGCTAATTTGCAGTCGTAGACAAAACTAGACTAAAGAACTTCTTAAAATAAATAAGAAGAGGCAACGGCGCAGGTGCTCTTTAATTTTTAAGTTGGCCTGGAACAATAGCCTCACCGAGAAGTCATATGGTCAGTCGGTTGGTCTTCTGTTCCCTGACAGTTAGAGGGCCCTCCCCTGCCGCCCACAGTGACTCAGAAGGCAGCTGCGGAGAACAGGAAGGCCGGAGATTCATGTGACAAGCCACTGGCCTTCACCAGGGCAGACAAAGCAGGTGGGTGTCTTCCCTGCCCCACCCCCACCCTCTAGCTTTATGTTGCATTTCGGGGATTGTTTTTTTCCTCCTCAAACTGCTCTGAATTTTCTCTTTGACCTAATTTCATCTGTGGAAAAATGCTGTCTGGAAGGGCCTGCTGAGACTTTGTCTGGGCCTGTCTCACTCAAGAAGGCCAACAATCTGTTTGCACACCAAGAATGGAAAAAATGTTTCTGTGCTTCAGAGATTCCTGAACACACTTTTTCCAGAATGAATCAGTTCCTTCCAGCAGGGATAGCTGTCACTAGTTGGGAAAATGAAGCTGTCAATAATCGGTGGCCGGCTTCTAGGTTTCAAAAGAGACTCCACGTCCTCACAGTTTCTTGGAATCTTTCTTCACCAGGTTTAAGTCCTTGTTCCCCGAGGGCCACCTATGTTGGAATCATCAAGATTAAGGAGTCATTCTCCCTACAGAAGGACCCAGTAATCCTGATTTTAACAAGCACTACGACTCACTTTATGCACGAAATTAACTCAGTTAAATCAGAGTTCGCAAGCATTCACTTGCAATACTGAAGGAGACAGTCCTGGGGAAGAGGGTGTTGTGCACGCCTCCCGTGACGTTGCCTCTCTATTCCCCTCTCTCCCCAAAAATGCCATTTCTGATGATGTTGGGTGGTCACTATAGAAGGAAGTAGAGGAAAGAGTAGGAGCTAAGGAAACAGCAATGTTCTCTCCTGATTGACTGGTGGGGGAATGGTTCCCTGTCCTGCGCTGGGGAAGTGAGAGGTCAGAGGTGGCCAAAAAAGAGAAGACAGGCCTAGCCAGGCGGAGATGCAGCACAACCAGCACTTCATCACTGTTGTGCCCACCTTTGGCAAGAAGAATGGCTCTAATGCCAACTCTTAAATCCTTTGTAATCCTGGCTTTCTCCAATAAAGACACTTAGGACAGTGACAAAAAGATTTCACAAATGCCTTAAAAATAGGCATTTCTGAAAGGACTGATTTTAGAAAGCAATGGACCAAAATGCTTAAGAATCACTCACAAAGCTTGTTAAAAACGCAAATCTTCCCTACTCCCCATTCTAATTAAGTAGGGATGGTGTGGGTTCTGGGAACCTGCATTTGTTAAAGCACCTGAATGACTCTAATGCAGATGGATCTGGGGGCACATCAGGAGATCACTTCTTTAATGTACTGGGCCCTGGAGCAAATGATAGACTGGGAGAAGACAGTTGCAACGTCTACAACTAACAGGAGATTTGATAGCTAGAACAGCAGTTTTCAAAGTGTAGTCTCTGGAGCCATGGGGTCTTCAAGAATTTTCAGGAGGTCCACAAGATCAAAAATATCTTTATAATAATACAAAGATTTTGCCTTTTTCATATGTTGACTTTTGCACTCATTGTCCAAAATCAGTGTTGGGTAAAATTGATGGCCTGGGTAACTTAGGGGATAGTCATGTGTTTACTGAGATAGATGCATGGGAAGAATAGCACAAGGGGAAAGGAAGAGTTCGATTTGGGATGTGTTGATTTTGAGGTGCCGATGGGACATCCAGATAGAGTTGTTATGTAGGCATTCATGGATGTGGAGCTCAGCAGAGAGTTCTGAACTGGACGTACGTGCAATCAACCATATTTAGGCAAGATGGGTAGTAATTATGCCTCTTTTTCACATGCACTCTAATTCTCCTGACTAGTTTGTCTCCTTGACATTCTCTTTTTGCCCCAGGATACAGAGCCAAGGATAAACTTACCCATCTGTGTAACCTTGGGCAAGTTAAAAAAGCCTCTCTATCTCTCAATTTTCTCATCTATAAAATGAGGATGAAGAATCTTTATTATAGAATTGCTGTGTGGATTAAAGACTTAATGTGTGTTAAATGCTAAGAAGAGTGCATGGTACATAGCAGGCGCTCAATAAAGATTCGCTGTGTTTTATAATTGTGGCACCTGTACTTTCTCTTTATAGCACTTAACACAATTGTTCGCACATAATTACTAGATTGTAAGCTCCATGAGAGTTTGGTTATGGATCCCTGCAGTATCTCTAGCACTCGTATGTAGTAGATGCTCAATAAATACTTATTCAATGAATTAATAAATCTGTTCCCCGGGGTTGTGGTTGTATTGTTGTAAATTCCTTTCCATCTTTAAGCTACCCTTGATTTAACTCCACTCAACAGGTTGGAGAAGCGAGTTCACTGTGACTTCTTCTTTGCTTTGTAGTGTGTGTCCCTCACAACGCCTATGATAGTGCACATCCACAAGGGGTCAATACGTGTTGAGGGGTTGGTTGATTGAATAATGTGGACTGGTCCCCATCTCCTGCCCCAGTTTTGCCTGTTGTCGTCAGATACAAGGCAAAGAGAAAAATTAGAGAAGCAACTCTTAACCTACAGAGGTCAAATTTTTACTTGGATTTTTTGAAGTACCATCTGGCATCCATAGGAACTTGCCTGTCTTTGTCCCCTACTAGTCTGAAACATCAAATACCCCAGGCCAAGAGCCTAATGGCCAGTATTGACTACTTCATCATCTCAAGTATTACAGCATTCAATTCCATGCATGCCCCATATTGTGAATTAATAGATGTTAGTGTAATCAAAAGTGTTTGTCTTTTTCATCTTGTGCTTTGCAGATGAATGAGTAAATATTCACTATTCTTCTCTTTATTGTACCAAAATCAGAAATATATCAGAGCATCAATAATTCACTATATGTGTAGCTTTGGGTAAGTCATTTCTCTCTAGAAGTAAATTTCCTCATTGAAAAAATGAAGAGCTATATCCTTCAATACACCAGACCAAACAAATTAATTTTGTTCAGTTTTCCCCTCTGCTCCCAGGGAAAAAAATAAGAGTCCATCTTTCCATAAATCTGGAGGTAAATTTATTTTTATTGTGCTTCTGTTACTACAATGTAGGGACTTTTCCTTGAAAACAAAATACTGAAAATATAGACTTCTTTTTTCTATTTGGCCATTAGATGTCGCTCAACATCCAGGAAGTGTAAGAAACCAGCCAAGCACTATGAAACTTGTTTTTCCCCCCCTGGGCCCGCCCCTTCCCACTGCCTGAATCTGTGAGTGGCTTAGTTGTCTATTGGTATTTGTGCCTCAGTGTCCTGCCATATCCAACCAAAAATCCCCTCAGCCAGCCAGAAAACGTGTTCTCCAAATGTCTTAATTTTGCCATTTAAGTCAACATATAATTGAGCATTTTGACTTATTACCTACTAGGATCAAGGCACTCCATGCAAGAATTCCCACTCATCCCCGACCACCGAGTTCAGATGCCGCCTCCACTGTGGAGCCTTATCCCGCCCTCCTTCCTAACCCAGAGCACTGTAGAAGACTTTGTCACAGTACTTCTGTGTTGAGTTTGTTTACAAATCTGTCTCTCCAAATTCTGGAAAAGATTCTGAATCTCCTTCATAATAAAAGAAATGCACACTAAAACTACAAAGAGAAGCCATTTTCACTTAGGAGACTGGCAAACATCTACATTTTCTCTCTTTTTTTTTTGAGGAAGATTAGTCCTCAGCTAACATCTGCTGCCAATCCTCCTCTTTTTGCTGAGGAAGACCGGCCCTGAGCTAACATCCGTGCCCATCTTCCTCTGCTTTATATGTGGGACGCCTACCACAGCATGGCTTGCCAATCGGTGCCATGTCCGCATCCAGAATCCGAACCGGCAAACCCCAGGCCGCTGAAGTGGAATGTGCAAACTTAACCACTGAGCCACCAGGCTGGGCCAAACATCTACAATTTTGATAACACATTTGGTTTAGGGTAACAGGCATTTCATACATTCTTAGTAGGAGTGTATACTGGTTGATGCCTTCTGGAAGACAGTTTGGCAGTATCCATCAAAATTTTAAACAGCAATTCTTCTAGACATTTTTTCCTAAAGATATAGTGTACTTGTACACATGCACAAATATCTGTATAAGGAGGTATTCACTGCACAATTGTTTGTGGTAGCAAAAGACTGGAACTGACCTAAATGTCCATTGACAGGGCACTGGTTAAATTGTACATCTTACAGTGAATTACCAAGTAGCTGTTAAAAGAAAGAAGTACATTTATAAGTACTGATACAAAATTATCTGCAACATATATTGTTAGGAAATCGCTAGGTGCAGAAAAGTGAGAGAAGTTGTAATAGTCAACATTTACTGAGCACTTTAAAATGGAGTTTCTCATTTAATCTTCATGAAAACACCAAGAAGTTGGCATTTATCATCACATTACAGATGAAACTGGGGCAGAGAGAAGTTAAATAATTTGTCCAAATTCTAGCTAGTAATCAGAGGAACTGCCGTTTAAACCAGGGTGGTCTTGATTTCAGGGTCCTTGCTCTTAATCATTATTCTACATTTATGTGTAGTAGTGTAGGGGATATATAGGTGCTATACAGATTTTTTTTAAAAGGCGGGTGCATATATATATGCACCATACATTCATAACAGCCTGCTAACAGTGGCTGCACCTGGCGGGAGGATTGGGGGCTAAAGATCAAGGGTGGGAGGGAGAGTTTCTTCCCATTCGATACTGGTGGTCTCAGCCTTGGGTGCATATTAGAATCACCTGGAGAACTTTTAAAACTACTGTTGCCTGGGCCTGTTTCAGGTAAATTAAATGAGACTCTGGGAGAAGGGCCCAGGCACTGGCGTTTTTTCCAAAGCTTTCCAGGTGATGGGAAGGTGAAGTTGGCATTAAGAACCACTCTCTGGGGCTGGCCTGGTGGTGCAGCGGTTAAGTGCACACATTCTGCTTCAGTGGCCCGGGGTTCACTGGTTCAAATTCTGGGTGTGGGCATGACACTGCTCATTAAGCCATGCTGTGGCAGGCATCACACATAGAAAGTAGAGGAAGATGGGCATGAATGTTAGCTCAGGGCCAGTCTTCCTCAGCAAAGAGAGGAGGATTGGCAGCAGATGTTAGCTCAGGGCTAATCTTCCTCAAAAAAAAAAAAGAACCACTTTCTATACACTCTTGTACTTTTTTTTT